TTGCAGTGAGCTGAGATCTGGCCACTGCACTCCAGCCTGGGCGACAGAGCGAGACTCCGTCTCAAAAAAAAAAAAAAAAAAAAAAAAAAGAAAAACACAAAACCAAGTAACAAAAAATATATCTAGTCCATATATAAAGAAAACATAATTTATTATTAAAATCTTCCCATAACCACCACCACAACAAAAAAACTCTATAGACATTATGCCTTCAGAATATTCTTCAAAATATTTAAGGAAAAAATACACAAACCTTTTTTTTTTTTTTTTTTTTTTTGAAACGGAGTCTTGCTCTGTTGCCCAGGCTGGAGTGCAGTGGTGCAATCTTGGCTCCCTGCAAGCTCCGCCTCCCGGGTTCACACCATTCTCCTGCCTCAGCCTCCCGAGTAGCTGGGACTACAGGCGTCCGCCATCTCGCCCTGCTAATTTTTTGTATTTTCAGTAGAGACGGGGTTTCACCGTGTTAGCCAGGATGGTCTCGATCTCCTGACCTTGTGATCCGCCCGCCTCGGTCTCCCAAAGTGCTGGGATTACAGGCGTGAGCCACCACGCCCGGCCAAAAATACACAAATCTTATACAAACTCTTCCAGAGAACAAAGGAAACGTTTCTTCACTCTTTTTATGAGCCCAGCATAACTTGAGGTATGAAACTTGACAAAGATATTCACTAAAGGAAATTATGGACCAATTTCTCTCATGAACACAGTTGCAAAAATCCTAAAAAAAAAATTGCAAATAGAATCTAGTGGTTTGTAAGGAAAACAAATACATCTCAAAGTAGGTTTCTATCCAGAAATGTAAGGATAATTTAACATGTGAACATCAATTTGTGTAATTCATCACACTACATTAATCAAAGAAAAGGATAAACATCACAATAATCTTGATAAATGAAGTAAAAGCATTAAATTCAACTTGTAACTCAGTAGTAATAAAAATGCTTTAAGAACTAGGAATAGAAAACTTCCTTGATATGAAAGAAACACCATTGTTAATATTGATGTAGAGAACTACCTGCTCGCAAAGGAGATGTTCTGATAAGTCCTGCTCTTACAAACGAAGCAGGGCGATCCTTCCCTGTAAACAAGGAGGACAAAGGAGCCAGCTGCAAACAGCAGACCCTGGGGGTTTGTTTATGTGTAAACATCTTGAAAATCCAGAAAGTCAGGGAAAGGTCAGAAAAACAACAATGTGTCTTATGACTTGGCAACATTCCACAAACTACTGTATAAAATAAAGCAGAGTGTGCCATTCGAGGCGGCCGCCATGTTTGTCTTGTGTTGTCTTGTGTGTTCATTCCTTTGTTTAGGAAACACGCGGACCCCAACAATTGACATATAAGAGCTTTCCCTTGGAAATCAAGAAAGGATGCTTGCTATTACTATTTCTATTCAGCATGATATTGGAGCTCAGGCTAAGGCAACAAAAGGAAAAAAAAGAAATGTGGCATATAGATTTGAATAAAATCATCTCTATCTACAGATGACATGATTATAAGTATAGAAAACTTCAGAATTGTACAAACGTCAAAGGAAATTTAGCAACATTGCAGGATATAAGTTGAATATTATAAATTGCTTTTCTATAAAAAATATAAATATGATATGAAATGAAAAATAATTTTATAATAGGTTTTAAAAACTTGATACATAGAAATGAATCCAATGAAAAATGTGCAAGACCTCTATACAGAGAATTACAAAACAATTAAAACAATTACCCTATAAAAACAATTAGACAATTAGAAATTAAAGACCACCTAAGTACATTGAGTGATTCACATACATTGGAATGACTAGTCAACAAGACATATTAGTGACCCCAAATTGTTTTCCAAGGAAAAGTAAGGGTCTATGTCCACTTTCCTTGAATTTGAGTGAGTTTGTGACTGTTTCATCCAATGGATTACACACAGTCTGACTTCAAAGGCTAGATCACTTAAAAAGGCAGCTTACTCCTCATTCTCTTGGAACACTTACCTTCAGCTGCTCCCTCTTGGAAGTGGGCAGCCATGTTGTGCAAAGATTAAACCACTTTCAAAGGCTCTTAATAAGTGACCTAGAATATACCTGTCCTGGTGCCAGTGTATGAGTGGAGAAACCTCCAAATGCTTCCAGCCTCAAGTCATCTGAGTCATCCTGAGCTAAGACCCTAAGTACTGTGGAGTAGACAGGCCATCCCTCCTGTGCCTCATCCCAATTCCTGACCCAACAGAATCCATGTGCATAAAGAAATGGTTGTTCTTTTATACTACTTAGTTTGGGGTGGTTTATTGTTCAGCAGTAGATAACCAGAACAAAAAAAGTCAACTTTACCAAAATTGCTCTGCAGATTCAATAAATCCCAATTAAATCTCAGGACAAATGGCAAATCTGACCCTAAAATATATATGGAATTACGAGGGGCCTAAATAGTCAAAACAGTACTGTAAAAGAACAGAGTTGGAGGGCACACCCTTCCCCATTTCAAAAGCTACTACAAAGTTACAGTAATCAAAACAGTGTCATACTGGGGCAAGGCATAGTGACTGATGGAATGGAACTGAGAGTCCAGAAATAAACCTCTATGGTCAGTTGGTTTTCAACAAGGGTACTAAGGCCATTCAAAGGGAAAGAATAGTTTTTTCAACAAATTATACAGGCCTGATCTTTAGAATGGCCTGTTTACAAGATTTGCCCTTGGCTGACATCTAGAAACCTGGCTTCTGAAACCATCCCTGAGTGATAAGATGTGCTTGCTCTGCTAGCCTGACTAGACTTCTTAAATAAACAATGTGATTTATGGTGAACACCTGCTTTCCTTCTAGGAGACTAGAATTCTGGAAAACAAAGGATGCGTACGTGATTAGCCCCCAATAAAAACCCTGGACTTTGAGTTTCACACTGGCTTCCTTAGGCAGAAACACTATGCCCATGCTACTACTAGAGGAAGGCTTTACTCTTGTGGCCCCTGCAGGGAGCACACAGGGAGCCTGCACATGGATTCCTCCAGACTGCCTGGTCTGTCTTTCCCCCTTACTGCCCCCACTGTGTATCCTTGCCAGGTGGCTGTAATAAATCTTAACTGTTGACTATGATGATATGTTGAGTCCTGTGCATTCTTCTATTGACACGCTGAATGTGTGGGACTGCCAAAACAAGTGTACCAAAAGTGCTAACACAAGTGGTGTCACAACTTCCCACAATATGTATATTGAGTTTATACTGAAATATTTCATATGCAACCCATAGTGATCTTTTGCACTCAAGAGATCTTAACAGTTTTTCCTGCGAAGTAAATTCTATGAGGAAAGCAGAGTTCAGACCTTCAGCATATGCCAGTATAATAAAAGCAACCTCCTCATGAGAGAAGAAAGGCACATCTCTCCCTTGACAACAGTAGGACCTAAGAGAGTGCTAGCCAAGTTTTTAGAGAAATGTTTCTTATTACACAAAATACCCCCCAATACTAATACTCTCAGGTAAACTTTCTATTAGTTCAGTTCATTTACAATTTAAAGCCACATCCTTATATATAATAGGATAATGGGAGCAGAAATGTAAATGTAACAAAATACAAATAAGGATATAACATCTATTAGGCTGTCACCAGGACACTATCAGCTGTCTACAAATTTTCAGTTATCACCACTACTGAAAAAAGCTAGGGAAAACGTATTAATTACACAGTTTAAGAAGAGCTCGCAGATATATTACTCAGTTCAAAAAGAGAGAATAGAAATGACTAGTTATCTACACACAGGAACTTTTATAAGTGAAATTAGATGAGACGCTACCTGCTGCCCTATTTGTGCAACACTGCTATCAGAACGATGAAAGAGAAGCATTATAGGATATAAGACCTTTCATAAATAATCTGCATTACATTTTACAGCTATTAAATTGTGATTAAGCCTCTGCTTTAAAAAAAAAAATGTGAAAGCCCTACTTTACAGCTGAAAAGTGATAAAACTAATTTTTAATCAGATTTTTTATTGTATTAATAATCACTTAAAAGACTGAAACAAAGATAAACAGTATTTTCAACAGTTTGAATACAATGAGGCTCCGTTTTTATGGCCATGGCTAAAGCACTGATCACATTTTTCATGGCCGGTCCTAGGAAGATAGAGTAACAGGACTGATGATTCTACTGCAGAACTCAAATTTTAAAGCATTATCAAGTGGGCTGGGCTTTTGTGCAGTTCAAAATGACTACCAGTAAACAGACATGATATAGTCTCATGACCAATAATCTCTTTTAATTTGGGAGGAAAATTAATTTCCTTAATCTCTCCATTTGAAAAATACAGAACTGTGGGAGAGCAGGATGTTGACAAACGTCAATGACTGAATCATTAGATAGATCACAGTGATAAGAAAAATTTAAAACTACAATGTATTATTTTTATTTTTTTCTTATGAAAAGTAACTTTTGAGTATTAACTCTTAGAGTTGTCCTTGATATGTAGTTCATTTATAATTTTTAATTTTCCCTATCAGAGTTTTAAGAGGAGTGAAACAGGTAAATAATGCAAAAATGAATAATTAAATACGGTTGACAGAGGCATATATGTAAAGCTTGTGCTTCAGGAATCATATGCTGTTGAGATAGTTGGAGGATGGTGGTGAGGCTGCCCTTACAACCCATATCACTGATGTGGGTAACTGCTGTAAATGGCAGTTATAAGTGTTCAGAATCCAATTTGAACATGGTTTTCAACTATGCAACTTCAAGAGGTGGGATCCTAAATCCCCAAAAGACTACCCATTCCTCTCAGTCCAAGAAGTCCTTAAATTAATGCTTAATCCACAAAAAGGCCCTGGCTTTTAATCTATAGTTTTAAAAGGTAACCAATGTTCTCCTTGTTAGAGTTAAGCAAAAACAATATACCCAAAATGGTGACCTGACTGATCATGACGCCACTACGGAACTCAGGGTTTTTAGCTAATTATGAGAACTTCTGCTTACTCCTCAAATCTAGTACAATCCAGATGTAAGCAAAGGCAAACGAGTTAGGCAAGTTTCAAAAACTTTAATAAAGAAAAAAAAGAAGACACTTCCAAAAATAAATGCCACACAAATGAAAGTTGTTTTTTTATGTCGTTGTTTAAAATGAAGATACTGAAGAAACAAAACCCTTTATCAAAATATACTAAATACTTAAATCTAATGATGTTGAGTGTTCAAATTCAGGGCAAATGTAGCTTATAATAATATAGCTAAGTATAATTTTTCATGATATGGCTGTTTTAAGACATCGTTTTATAGATTTACTTTTTAAGCCTATATTTTCTTAAACATCCATTTCACAATTCATTTAATTATTTTACATTCATTTATAAAAACACATATTTTCTAACAATAGGTTATTTTGTGCTTTAGTAATAATTAACCATGACAAAATACTCAAGTGATTTAAATGCTTTGCTAATGACTACACCCATCACATATTCTTACACACTTCTACAGCTATTGCAATAATCAGAAGGGCTACAACTGTTCTTAAAAATGACACTCACTCAAGGTTAACAAGCATGCTAAACATTAAAAAGATGTATTTTTTCCCCAAGTTAAAACATTAAGACGTTCTAGTTTTCTTTAAAATCTGTAAAGATAACCTGCCTATTTAAATCACTTTTCGATGGCAACTTATAAAAACAGAGGGAGGCATAATTTTAGAACTTCCTTTGTAACTTCTATAGTTAAAAAAAAAAAGTTTTTCAAATTGTGATGGCATTAAATTCCATTTTAGAAATTCTAGATTTTAAAATGTTAAGAAATGTAACGTCAGTTACATTGGGGTGGGGGCATTTTAATGAATTTAGTGACTGTGCAGGTCTATAAAGACCTTCCTTTAGGATGGGTGATACCGCCTTATACTCATTTCAGTACTTTTAACAAATAATCCATTTAGATATAATCCAAGACAAACCCCAAATTACTCTAAATTCTCCTCTACAGCAAGGGATCAACATATATCATCTTACAGACTGACAATTTGGTAAAGAAATACTAACCTAAAACAATAAAATTTATATAACTAATGGTGACTAATGGCAAACAAAATAGATCTGATTTTCACAATTTGGAAGTAATTTTCATGCAAAATTTTAGAGTTTTGATCCTTACTTATATTTTTATTTTTTTAAGTAATCAAGACAAATAGTAGAAAAAGCATTTTATTTATATGGAAAAAGCTACAGTAAGATCTGTAAAAGGTGTCAATATAATATTGCCTATACAGGAAAAAATTCATATGTGAATAGCAACAAATAAAAGTTACACATCTTCCTACTTAGCAGTGCAATTAATTCACATTGCAATAAAGTTAAGTCAAGTATAACAAAATCAAAACAAGTGTTTCTCCATAATCAGTATGCTGAGAATTACAGTGTAAAGATCATTTCAGATTTAAGAAATCTGCAATCAATCTACAGAATATCCTAAGACAAGGGAGACACAGTTAATTCACTTAATTATCAGCCATTGGGGTTTTTCAATACTGTTCACAGGAAAAAAGTAATGAGTCGACGTACATGTAAATAGAATATATTTAGTCTATACAGTAAAAAAATACAAATTATAAAGTGAGCTAACAAAGAATGAAATCTGAATACAGATTTATAAAACTGACATCTTAGACAACACATACAGTATTTCTCATGTAAAAACATCTAGTTTCAGCAAAAAATAATTTGGTTGCTTTTCAGCTGCATTGTAGATCTTGTAAGCTGAAGATGCAGATGTCCAAGTGTCTTAAAAACCATAATAAATGTCTTTCTCAATGCATACAAAATGATAAATGCTCTCATCACAGTCTTAAGGGTATTTTTGGAAGTTTGTTTTGTCTTGCTTCAGAAACACATTTAAAATGGGTAAAAATCAAATGGTTTCATGGTACAATGAAACAGTAAACAGTGCTCAATTTACTGCTAATGTTGAAAAAAACCTAGATTTTACAGTACTCTGGTATATATGAAAATGTTTTTGATTTTACATTGCATATTTCTGAGTCCATTCTCTTGCATGTCTGTTGTATCTGTAAATATACAAAAAGGATATAGTAAAAACATACAAAATATTTCAGAAGCATCTATCTATATAAAACTATATATTCTACCTTCTTATACTTAATTGCAATAATCACACATATATCAATTATTGGGTCAATGTGACTTAGGTTCACACAGAAATAAAACAGGAAAAATAATTTTTTAACTCATGGATTTCTCTGCAACCTACATGAAAATGTATCCAACTATACAAAAATCAAAATACAGAAACCAGCTTCTGACAGAAATTTACAAAAGCCAATCCTAAAGGAGCATTATCTACAAATTGCAAATAAACCTACAGTACTAGCAAGATGAAGCAGTTTGAGAATTAGGTCAGTTTGGATGGCCACAGAGAGAACTCCTCTTCCTTGGAGAAGATAATACATATTTAATACTTTCCAATGATTAAATTCTTTCATTTTTAATTTACCACCTAGAATATAAATACCTATTTTTCAAATACAGAGTATATACTATTGAACAGTAAGTGGGAAGGAACAAGATTTATCGTAAAAGGTCTAACAGAGTTCTAAAAGAAAGGTTTACTCCATTGGAAAAAGATAAACAATATACACATAACGACCATAACTAAATTTACTCAAAACATATTGATAATATTCATGTTTTAGCATACTATATAGGAATGTATCCATACAGAAACTGAGATAAGTAAACACTTACTTTTCTTTGTCTGATTTATAGATTTGTGCAATATCTGGTACTAAGGGGTCATCTGGATTAGGATCACAAAGTAGAGAACATATGGACAATAAAACTAGATTTAAAAGAGAACATCATATTAGACAATAACCCTCCTACTTCATACAAATTACATATGTGAAAATAATTTTAGTGAATATAGATACTGTACTTATGAAAAATAAAATGAACACATCAAATTACATTTTATTCTACTTTGGTTGACAGCAAATTGATCTTTAATTTTTAAAGTTATAAAATTACCGTAGGATGCATAAAATACAAAATTATTTTAGCTTTTGAAGTTTTCAATTCTATCTGAGTATCCATTTATTTAAAAAACTGTGGGCCTCCAAAGTAGCTATTAGCAACCTTTAAACTTGAGAGTTCTCTACAGAACAATCAAATTACAGTTAACAGTCCAAACCATTTTGGATATGGTGCTCATATACCTTTTTATATTGGCTTAGAGCTATAGTCTGTCTACAAAGAAGAAAAATTTGTAAAATTTTTTTCAATGAATCTTTACTTCATGTACTTTATTCGTATTGCATGCATTTAAAAATAATGTGAACAGCTATCTTTACATAGCTTGCATATTTTAAAATAGAAATGAAAATTGAAAAAGGAGTTGTTACTCCAGTATGTCAAAATCCTAATGCAAATAGCTACACTAAAACACACACACACACAATCTAAGTATCTGAAATAAGAGGGAATAAGGACTCTGGTTCCTCAATTGTCTGCTTCAATTGCATGCCACTACTTCTGAGGAGGTTCATGGAACCCTCTGGACCAACCTCCCATTTCCACTTGCCCCCACCCCACTGCGTTTCCTTTCTATTTTCCTACTCTTTCAAGTCTAAAGGTGGATTTATAGAGCAGAGTTGACTCTTACAATGACAGGCAAAGGGGGGGTGTTATGAACTAAAGAAAAAATTAATATTTTATTCATCTTTCTTATCTTCTATCTGCCCAATGAAACTTAAAGCCTTGTATATTAAACCAACAGGGTAGATTTTCAGGGCTAACTTACAGCCCCAGAATGCTTCCAGACTAACCTCATGATAAAAAGCAAAAGAAGACATTTAAAATATGGAAAAGCTCCAGGCATGGTGGCATGTGTCTATAATGCCAACTACTTGGGAGGCTGAGGCGGAAGGATCCTTGAGCTTAGGAATCGAGACCAGCCTGGGCAACACAGCAACCCCATCTCAAAAATAATAATAATAATAATAATAATAATAATAATAATAATAATAACAACAAGCTGGGCAATGTGGCTCACACCTATAATACCAGCACTTTAGGAGACCAAGGCAGGAGGATCACTTGAGGCCAGGAGTTTGAGACCAGGCTGGGCAACACAGCAAGACTCTGTCTATATTTAATTTTTAAAAAATCTTTTAAGATAAACAAATTAAAAATTTTAAAATATATATATAGAAAAGTAAAAAATATACAAACAAATGAGCAAGGTATGATCTATCTTATAAAAAAGTAAGCAAGAAGGAAGTTCCTCCTCTGCTCACCCCTACTGCCAGGAGCCATTTGCCCCAATTTCACTATCATGCACACAAACAATGTCTATCCTTTAAGGTAAGGAAAAGGGTAACAGTTAACATTCACATAAGTGCCTACTATGTACTAGGTACATAGCAACCCTATATGGTAACACTATAAGAATCCCCATTTTTACTTATAAGAAACTGAGGCTGTTTCATTTCTCACAGGATGGTTTCCAGAATCTAACACTACTAATTCTTTATTAAAAGCTACCAATGTCAGAATATAAGTACTCAGTATCTGGCAGTTTGCCATTTCTTTTATATGTATAAGGACTTAACGGTTTATGCCAAGTGAGATTCATTTTGTGACACCATTCCAGGAAACAGCATTTGAACTTGAATTACCCTTCAACACAGAATTTTTCATATATCTAATGCATGACAGTTACACTGTGTGAAAGATTCTTAAAAGAATATGAGAATCTATATGAATACTGTAGATGAGCATCTGAGGTCAGAAAAACTACCATTCATAAATAATGGAACTGAAAGAGCCATTATTTATCCAATATTTGAAAGAGCTATGGCTGTGGATCCTGCTTCCTATAAACCTTATTACTTTTAGAAACATGTTGTATATTCAAGTAGCAATTATTAAAAATAAAAAATGAGTACAGATTGCTTCCATAAATCCCTTCAAGGGAAACATTTTCTTCAATTTTATAAAAACGGAAAACTTGATGGTTACTTCAGTGCAGCTGCTTCTAACCTAAACAATATTTTCCAACTGTCAGGTTCTCTTCTTTTAGAGAAACAATATATAAATTAAGAGTGCTAGCACAGTAAGTAGTATTGGCTAATGAAATAAAATGGCTTCAGATGGCCTATGTATACACCTGATAATCCAGCAAAGAACACCTATACACCTGTAAAAGTTGAGAATCAGCACAGATCTTGTGTCAGTCACTATAATGACACTCCTGATTATGCAAAGTTTAGACTAACATGCTATATGTATTGCATTATCCTACAGTGTGAAATGTCTTCCATTTTAAATCATTTATCAATCAAATCTGGTATTTTTTTCTTGGATGAAGTAAAACAGCTGTAAAGCTTTATTACTGTCAACATTTCCATTTAATGAATGGGACAACTAGTCCCAAAATCTTCCTTTTACTATCTCTTATTCTCTCTCTTTTTTTTGCAGAGACAGGGTCTCCTATGTTGCCCAGGTCAGTCCTGAACTCTTGGGCTCAAGCAATCCTCCTACTTCAGCCTTCCAAAGTGTTAGAGTAACAGGCATGAGCCACAGTGCCTGGGCACTGTCTCTTTTTTAAAAGATAACACCCAAGCTAAAAGGATAAAATGTCCACACTCCCCTCAACCAAAGCTAACTGCCAAAAGCCAGAGTAACGTAAGAGCGAAGAGAGCAAAACAAAATCAAAACAGGAGAAAGCACAGTTGATTGTTGTTTTAAAACTTTAGTCCATAGGTAATTCTGTTGTATTTTTCCTGTCTCACTGTTATCAACTGTTTTAAATCTGATCGATGAAATTACCTTTTGATACAGTCAGAGCTGGTGACCATTGTGACCTCAGAATATCGAGACAAATACTTCCATTACTGTTTATGTTTGGATGGTAAATTTTTGTTGTGAAAGCGATCTAAACATAAAAAACAACAAAATATGACAATCACCTTTGAATCAACTATGAATAAAACAGAACCAATTTGCTCTAGGGTAAAATATGTTCAACTTTACATAACGCTAGAGGAGAAAAGTCTTCGGCACAAATCAAATAATTATCTACTTTGTGCTACACATAGTTCTAGCTAGTGAGAATGTGAACACAAACAAGTCAGCTTCCTTCTTTCCCCCTCCAAGGAACTGAAAAGTATTTTGGACAGTGTAATAAATAAGTCTCTAGTAGTTGGTATGACTGGTTGAGTAGCATCTAAAGTAATTAACCATGGCTTTCATCATACACAGAAGTAATCCTTTTCTTGATTTGATTACTGGTGATACCTGGAAGTAACACTTGGATCTAAAAACAGGGTGCTGGCGCTGTTTCAGGGCAAAGTTGAGGGGTCTCAGCTAAGAAATCCATCAAGAACCCTAATTTTCCACAAGAGTTGTCATATCATTTCATAAATACAATGTTAATCTGCTTTTAACTATTTAAAATTATTATTTCCTGAGTGACAGAATCTGCTCATTTTTCCCCTCCCTGAAATCCCCATCATTTGTTTCCTCTTTAGAGCAAATCTAAATTTAACATGTGTTTCTCTCTCCTACCATACTAAATTAAGGGACTGTTTCATATTTACTTTTGGATTCCCCAGTGTAGAAGAACATGGTAGGTACTCAGTGAATGTTTATTGAATACTTAAAAAAAAAAAAAAAAAAAAAAAAAACAGAGAAAGAAGGATCGACTTTGGAAAGATAATCCCATGAAAAATCTGACTCTTAATCATAAAAATTTCCCAAACTACACGTATCCAATAAGAAGAGAAAGAAAAGCAAGGAATTAAATTTATAGCATGACAGATACTGACTTTTGTTTTATAGACTTAATAAAGTATTTCAATAAGAAATCAGATTTTAGATTCAGTAGTTTTTATAAAACAGAAAATGCTAATCTCCCCCACAGTCTTTGACATACAAAATGAGCTCTAGATAAAGAGTAAAATCCCTTACATGGGAGTCACATCAATCATAAAAATAAAAATACCTTTGGTGGTTTAAAAGGATAATCTGTCGGGAAATGTACAGTGAGAAAGAAGACTCCACCTTGATATGCGCTATCAGGCTGAAATTACAAAAGATTTGCATCAGCATTTGATTACTATATTTATTTATAATGACAGTTATTTCCCCCAAATATTATCGGTTTGAAAAAAATGCCATCATGTTTAAAATAATTTCATTAAATATTACCAGTTTGAAAAAAACGCAACCATTTTGTCATAAGTTCAAATCATTTACCTTGAGAACAGGTTTCTCTTTGCAGGTATGAAGGAGGATTTTCCAACAATTATGCTGACATCATAAAATTTAAAACAAAACAAAAACAGGACACACACAGTGGTGTCACTTGTCCAAACAAATCTGGTTATGAGTACAAATTGTTAAAGATCAGTATACACACAAGACTGCTGTGGGAAAAGATCATTTTCTGCAGCTGTAATCAGTATTTTTTTGAAAAAGGCTTGAAGCTAGTAAAACTTAAGTTCTGATGTTCACTTAATGACCAAGAATGGAGATGAACGGAAGAGGCTGTCATGAAAAGAAAATGCTAAGGACCCTGCTACACAATTTATCTGCCAAATCTTTGTGTAGTAACTATTTATAAAATAATGTAGAGAAACAAAAAAAGTCCGAAACAAAATTATATATTCATGCTACCATCAAATTGGGAATCAACTTTACTAGAGAAATTTAGATTTGATCATGTTTCTTTATGGCCATTAGAAAATATAACATTACAAACAAAAAAAATGTAAAAAAAGAAAAATGCTAGCAAAATATACCTAAAATTCTATTTTAATTCTTTCATATTTCATTAAATATATCATGTTATATCAGCATTCTGGTAATAACACCAAGACTCATTACTTCCTTAAGTTTCCACATATATGCTATAGGATTTTACTGTATAATAATTCTTACTATATATGTTGTTTAATTCTAGTTTATCAAAAATTGTAAGAAATAGAGAAAATGAAGATAAATTACAATGACAGATATAGTCCAGTGTACTACAGAGTAAATATTTACATTATCAAAGTAAGGGAGTTATGAATAACATAATTATAACCATTCGTTACATGTGATTCACCTAAAAAATATTTGTGAAAGGCCATAATTCAAAAGGTAAGGGTGGGCCTTTAAATAAATGAGAGTATTTTGAAGGTTCTTAGTAACTAATTAAAAACAAACAGAAATAAATGGATTCTTATTGAAAGTTGTTGTATAAATACATTGTATTTTACCTTTTTAAAAAACAAACTTAATAAAACAATAATTTGAGACAACTGCCCAGAGTACCCCTTTGAAATTCCGTAGTTTCGGTGTTTTTTAAAGTTAAACACAAGGCCATATGATTAAAAACTCTTTAACTCACTAGATAAAGCTCTTTCAGGGGAGGGAGAAGAGAATGGTGTTCATGAAAATATGTTACTAATGTACTCTCACCCAGAAAGTAGATTTGAGCTGCCAGTGCTCATTCTTATGCAATCAGATTTTTGCTCATAGAAAGAAAAAGCCTGTTTGAAGTCTTAAAACTGCCTCTAAAGTACTGAAAGAAATAATTTTAACAAAAGTAATAACTACTGAGAGTAGCCAATTATCAAACAGTAGATAATCCTGTGTTTAGGACAATGCAACAAAATTAAAAGCAGCAAATTTATAAGGTGGCAAAGATAGACCCATTGTAATATTTTATTTATTCTCTTTCACAAAAAAGAATAGTGATGAGACTTATGGCAAACTGACACTTGTTACTTGTAGGAATTCAATTATTGGCTTCGTTAGTCTAATTTCTAATGTACCAAAACTGCGGATGTGAGAACGATTATGCTTAATTACAACTAACTCTCAGTGACTTAAAAAAAAAAAAAAAAAGATAAACACACAGCCTGGTTTCGAGCTGTGGCAATCCATTATGTGCAATGATCTAGGATTTCACAAAGGAAAACATAATAGTGATCCAGGAAATATTTGCCACTAATGCTTTAGAAAATCATTGTAAATCCTTAATAATATTTTGCTTCCTAGGTGATTCAAAGTACAATATTCAACCTTCATCACAAACATCTGATCAAAGGTGAAATGGCAAGAATGAAGTATGGCTGAGGGGGTTAATTTCATAGATACGAATCATACTTACAGGCCCCATAATAGTGGCTTGCCAGTGGAACACTGAAACAAACAAAGGAGTTTTGGAGTCATTAACAAATGTCCAAACCTATATTTTTAATGGTAGCATAATCCCAGAAATAGAGCAAAGCTTACAGTCATCTCCCACAGGTCCAGCTGAACAGTGAGCAGGTGGATCGCGCTGTAGATCACTTAATTCCTGAAGGAAAGCAAAAATATGTAAGGTTAATTCCTTCTTTTCCCAATGAAAAAAGGGTAATGATCCATTAAGATACAAACTATTAGCTTAGCTTTAAAAACATTTAAAGCGGTTCTACTCAAAATATAAAAACATAAATTGTACTTTGTCATTGACTGGTAGAAAGAATAAGGTATATAAGACAGCTTCAAACCTTGAAAAGATTAAATGGAATAAAATACTGTTTTTCTTTAACATCCCTAAGAGAAAAACTATTTAATGAGTACCTACTGTATGCAAGGTAATTTATGTAAGTGCTAGGTTGATAATATATCAGAAAACAGGTACTACTTTAACAGGTTACAATCTATTGAGGGAGCAAGAAGGCTCAGAAAGAATAATACTTCAGGACACCTTTTTTTTTTTTTTTGAAACAGGATCTCACTTTGTCGCCCAGGATGCAGTGCCATGGCACAAGAGCTCACCGCAGCCTCAACCTCCTGGGCCCAAGCGATCCTCCCACCTCAGGCCCCCACCCCTACCCCCACCCCAAGTAGCTGGCACTACAGGCACGCGTCAGCACACCCGGCTAATTTTATTTGTAGAGATGGGGTCTTGCCATGTTGACCAGGTTGGTCTCCAACTCCTGAGGTCAAGTGATCCACCTGCCTCGGCCTCCCAAAGTATTGAATTACAGGCATGAGCCACTGCACCCAGCTCATTTAAGGACAACTTGAAATGGGAAATAAATGAGCAGCAGTCAGGCCATGTTTTGAAACTCAGAACATTGACTCATACCCTCTTTCCTGCCCTCAAGGCAGCAAAGATCACAGAAAAGACACAGCTTTAGAGTTCGCCCCATCCCTGGGTTGTAATCTCAGTTCTTTTTATTTTTCTTCTTTTCTCTTTTTTGGATTTTTTTTTTCTTTTTCTCTAACAGATATAATTCCAGTTCTAACATATCTCACCCTTTGACCTTGTGGAAGTTACTTCACTTCTTTAGCCACAGTTTGGAAGAAACTAATCATCCCAAATAAGAAAGGCATACATTCAATATAAAGGACTATAACTGAAGACTTAATTTAGTTTGGAAGATCAATAACAATCTCTGAGGAAGTGACATTTAAGCTGAAATCTAAAGGATGAGTAGGAGTTACTTTTGGAGGAAAAGAGTGATACTGGGAGGCAGAGTGGCAGAGGATGAGGCTGGAAAGGTAGGCAGAAGCCAGGCAGGAAATAGAGTACCATATAGACCACATTAACGATGTGGTGTTTTATACCAAATGCATTGGGTGGGGGGTGAGGGAGGTCTTAAGAAGTGGCATGCTCTGATTTAATGGATGGTTCTGACTGGATTAGACAGGGGAAAGAGGAGAAGCTACAAGATTAGTTGCTACACAGGCAAGAAAAATGGGGGCTTAGATTGGAGAAGTGGCAACAAGATAGAAGTGGTAGATCTGAGATACTCTGAAGGGCCTATCTATCACAGGAGTTGATGAATTACATGTGCAGAGGAAGGAGAGAAGTCATAGATATGTATGATGAAGATTAGGGACAGCTAACATTTATTCAATGTCTCAGTCATTCTAACAATCCTCAGAGATAGGTGTTATTATGTTCCCCATTTTACAAGTGAAGAGTTAAGGTGATACACTTCACTGCATGCTTGAGTAATTACCATAGGGTGGAACTGGGATTCAAACCCAGGTAGGCGATTATCTCACATTTCAGTTCCACAAATGTACGAATATGGATGCCATTCACTGAGATGGAGAACAGAAGACAAACTGATTTGGAGAGTAGATATGTTGGATCTGTAATCCCTGTGATATGAAGAAACCATGTGGTTCAACATACAGGGGTGGACCTTAAAAAAAGCTAGAAATTGGAAAATCATTGCATATACTGGATATTTAAAACCATGAGAATGATATGACATTTTTGTGGGAACACACAAAATAAATATGCACTTAATCAAATCTAAGATGTCATCAACTGTACATCACATCCTTATTCTAAGTACCAATAATTAAGAAAAAATGCTGCCAATTTATTTTAAAACACTGTCAATGATAAAATGCATCCACACTTTAGAAATGTTAAAATGTGAAAGACGTGCATCTTAGAATCACTGCAATAGGGTAATTATGGCAATGAGTTCAGTGCTCTAATAGAGACAAACAAGAAGCAGGGCGTGACAGGGAAAGGCCTTCCTAAGAAAGTGATACATGAGCTGAGTAACTGAGCCAAGTACAAACTCAGGTCTCCTTCCAAGCTCAATGTTCTTTTCCAGTATACCTTGGTACTTTCATTTTTGTTTTGCTGCTTTTTTTTTTTTTTTTTTTAATAGCTGGTACGGTGTTTCTCTTCCTAGTAAGTATTAACTAACAGGGTTAGCTGCTTCTTTGGTCAATGTTAGAGTTAAGTAATAAGGGACTGACCAGGCTGACTCATGCCTGTAATTTCAGCTATTTGGGGGGCTGAGGCGGGAGGGTTGCTTGAACCCAGGAGTTCGAGGTTGCAGTAAACTATGATCGGGCCTCTGCACTCCAGCCTGGGTGACAGAGCAAGACCTCCTTAAAAAAAAAAAAAAAAAAAAGAAAAGAAAAAGAAAAAGCAATAAGGAAATGGATTTCAGACTTTGACTTAACTATACTGGTTAAAAGCAGCAAGGCTTTGAAGTTCAAGTCTGGGTGCCACTACTCACTTCACACATGATCTTGGGAAAAATCTTTTTTTCCTCTCCAAAGCTCAGTTTTCAAGTGGCACTACCTCCATCCATAGTTTCTATGACAACCAAGTGAAATGATACATGTCAAGTGTACAGCACAGTCTCTGGCACATAGTAAGCATTCAAATAAAGGGAACTGACAACCTTCCAATTCTCTAGGAGCAGAATACAATTATTAAAATAGTTTAAATGACTGAGGGAGGAACAGTTCCCAAATCACAGCCCCATTTTAGAAGGGCTGTGCCTTATAACAGTTTTCTAATTTGGGCTTTAGGAAATTGCCTCTGTAATTATTCATCATGTTGAATTTTCTAAACACTAGTGTAAATGGGGCTTCTTTGCCCTCATTTTAACTAGAAAACTAGTTAATCAGAAAATGACAGTCTCTGTAGTTTTAAAAAACTGTTAATGACTTGCATGTATATATTTTACAGAGATAATGTGTATGTGAATAAAGCATACATATGCACAAATACATATTGATTTTCTTCATTAACAAGAAAAATCAAAACCTTATTTTAGTTGGAACAGGCTTGAACCATATTCAAATTTCACACGTCAGGCTGTTCTTCAAAACTCTTTAAAATATTATATATAAAAACAAAGATTATCTTGTTCTTGTTATTATCATTATTTTTGATGTACTAATTCTACCTCCTCTGTTAGAAGTTAGGGCTAAGGAAGAGAGAGAAAATCTAATACACACCTGAAAAGGCCGAGTTCTTAAACTGTCACTTTATTACAGCTCATCCACATAGGAAAGAGGCAGCTGATAGTGTATCAAACATCCTTAATATTGACATGGATCATTATTTGTTACAAATAATTACAGTAATGCTTTGGGGAGGAGACTTACATAACCTAGACTTTTTAGGAGGGTCTAGATTCCTAATATTCTATCTCTGTCAATCCATGTGTCTGGAAATATGTCCTGTTATTTTTTCGGAAACACGTAACTGAAACTAGGATGCATATGTGCAGATAGAATGACCTACAGAAAACAAAAGGTACAACACATTCTCACTCTGGCCCACAAAAATACAGACCTTAAATTTGAAAAAAGAAAAATGAAGATATGTTGGAAAATTTTGAGACGTGTTAATGAGGTGAAAATATAAAACAAACAGAAACTACAACTAGACAAACGAAAACCCCACTCTTTTTGCTTAGTCTATGCAGCAGCCAGTGTACTTTTAGATGACAGACAAAATCAAGGATCGCTTTTATTTGTTGAATTCTTTCTTTTGATTTAGATTACTCTAAGTTTTTCTGGAAATGCCTTACTGTCTGATTTACACTTTCTCTGCTATAACTGCCATTCTTAGTTATCTATCTAGTTTTAGCACCACTGCTACATATGGGGTATTAAAGATAATTTAATGATTTTTGTATTATTCCAAAAGGATATGTTAGGATTAGTACTCTAATTCCTTGCCCTTCTCCCCTACTCACCATATAAGAATTAACACTGAATTAGACAACTTGCTCAAGACCATAGGAACCTCACAAGAGCCAGGGCTTAATTCCACATTCTTCACTCTAATAGAAGTCCCTCTTGAGGACAATTTATATACCCCAGTCACATTTCTTGAACATTTCTTCCTATTCCACCACTACCTAGAAATCTAAGATGAACCCTATAAATAGCCTCCCAATAACGATTTCGTAAGCCTCCCAGGCCTCCTGCCAAGAACTCTTCATGGCCATGCTTTTGTCTTTATCATATGCCGGATTAAAAGATCTCAAAGACAAAGGATTTAAAAGCATTCAATATTTTCATTAAGTATTTTATTTACATATGTGTATTACAAAAGCAAAACAATGATTTGTAGGAAAAAAGAGAGAGAGCAATGTATAGTTAAGCACCCACAAGACCATACCTGGACCAAACCATTGTCAATTACAATACATCCATTCACAGCTTTGTTGGGAAATAAGTATGTCACTCACTGTTGGAGGGAGGGTAAGCTGACACAGTGTTTTGGAGGGAAATTTGGTAATAACTGCAAAAGTAGAAAATGCATATGGTCTCTGACCCAGCAATTTCACCTCATAGAAATTACTGCCCAGGTAGCTAAAGATACATATATAAGGATATTTACTGCAGCAGCCTGTATAAGTATGAAAAACTGAAATAACCTAAAGGTCCATCAATAAGAATGGCTTCATGAAATGATACAGCCATATTATGAAATACTGAGTAGCCATTTAAAAGAGTGAAACAGATCTACATATGTTGACATTGAAACATGTTAGGTGAATATAGTGATTAAATGAAAAACACAAGTTA